AAACTGGCTTAAATGAATATATAATAAAAACTGAATACCGGATAAGGTGGTCAATGGAAAGTATGTGTGTAGTGATGCTTCGTAATTGGAGTTCATAATTTCTTAAAAACTCACATCAAACACCAGAATGTGAAGCTACTCATGATAATAACAAATAAATCACTGTGAATTTAATAAATCTAAAAGTTTTTTCAAAGCAACTAAGTATTTTAAACTATAAGTGCTTGAAAGTAAATTACTTTTCCCTGAGTATCTTTGACGGCGGCATATAAGGTACAAGTGTGGTCAGCTACAGAAAGATGGCAGTGCTGCAGTTCCACGGAAGAAGAACAACTCGGCCGGTGCACTTCAACAACCAAAAACTTTCCGCCTATCAGAAGTTTGATAATTCCGTTTTTGGCTCCGACTACCTTTTAAGGATATATGAAGTTGAATCTCTTAAAAAAAATTAAACATGCACTCACGAGAATTGCTCTGAATTCGAAAATTTTGGCATCAGTGGGTGAAAGCACTTTTAGTTCCTTATTCTCTTCTAAATAAAATATGTAAAACGGTATAGAATTAATATGATAGTTGGAGCAATTCTTAACCGTCAAGGGAATATAAAGGAGGAAATAAAGTTTCGTGGCGAATGTTTAATTCAGAAACAAATTTATTATCATTTCGAACATTTTTAAATAGATTCATATAGGGTAGTGAAGAGCTATCCTCCATGTTATAAAGGTTAAACCATTTTAAATAATTGAGTTTGTCTAAAAAAAATAATAATGGTAAAGCTATAGTATACGTTAATAACAGTGACTAATAACCTTTGACAATTGCAATTTTATGTACACAGGCACAGCTTTCGGTAGTATATAAGTAAAGTTGTCCTTGAAAAAGTTAATATGATAAAAGAAAATGATATTTACTTTTTTAATATACAGCAAAAAGACCCGCTGTAGTCCCGACAGCCAAAAGTTTGGAGCCAAGGCTGTAGGCTAAGGAGCATATAACTTCGTCTGTTTTTTCTTAAGAATGATATAACTTTTTTTTCCTATTGCTTGCAATAGTGTGTATAAACCACAAATAGTAGCTTGCCACCACTTTTGCCATGATAAGCGGTAAAGGCAGACATCACCTTATAAAGTTATATTTACAATATAACATACTGCAATTAATAATTTTTTTACCAGTCGACGTGGCTAGAGCCAGTACATCATACTTCTCAGACCAAGAAACACATAAAACTTCAAAGTTAAGATATTGCTCTCTTTCAATTTGAAATTTAGTAACTTCAGGCATTTCATTGCGTGCAACTGTCATCTTTAGTTTTTTCACAAAAATTTTCAATTATATTGCTATAAATTTATTACTTGAAAAAAAATAATTACGGGAAACACTAACATAACTACAAAACTCCTTACAACAAATAAATTAGCTCGTTCCAAATATCCATATTTCAAAAATACAATGCTTATTAATCTAACTTAAAATAGGAAACAGAACTCGCATAAGGAAAAGATTTAATCTGTATACCTACTTAAGTATAATATGGTGATTTAAGCGTTAGGCGCCACTAAACTGTCAAAATGAAGTTGCCCTTTCGCAAGAGCCACCCCCGGGGTGCTAGTGATATGCCTTTCCAGAAGTTGGTACATTAAGTTTGTTGAGTTAAGCAGGTTTTCTTAAATTATACAAAATCCTCGGCTTAATGTACCTTATGTAGAAGAAAGTACAAAGGTTAAAAAAAATGAAAGAAAAGATCATTTTTAATTCTATTCTTTAAATAAGCTAGTTTTTAATAAAACAGTTTTACATTTTTAAAAGAATGTTCTGGTCACGAAAGAAGTGATAATGTACTGTTTTCGTAGCAGCAAATAAATACTATAAAATAAATTTCACTATTCTTAAGATTCCATAGTATCCATTACATTTGTAACTCTCTTTTATATGGTGAATTAGCTTTGAATCTGCAGGCACATCCGGTGTACTAAAGGTTTGATTATAAGACAAGTCTGAAATATTACACAATAAAGGTAACGACCCATGATAAATTTGTTAAAAAATAATATTGAAAAGCTCTAATAAATGAAATGCACATAACATATTCCGTATGATTTATAAATGTCTTTATAAGCTCCGCTGAGAAGTGAATTTAAAAATGTACGGTAAGGGTTAGGGTTAGGGTTAGGGTTAGATGTAATGATAATCTTTGCAAACAAAAATTATCATAAAACTCTTGAAGATACTCAAACTATTTCTTTTATCAATAAACTTTCGTATGCGGTATGGAATAGTTTTATTAATAAAAGTTTTTCGCTAAAATCTCCAGAGGTATCCTTGAATCAAGCTTGACTGATTGTTCAAAAAAGTATCTTGAATCAGGATCCTTTCTGCTGCCTGGGCTTCTTCCGTGGAATTTGAGGGCACTTGGTAAGCGAAAAAGCGAAAAGTTCTAGAAGAGGTCTTTTCAGTCTCTTATATACCTTTTCAGGTTTATACTCGGAAAGTGGTTTCCAGAATAATTAGAAATGTTCGGGAACATTTCATATAAAAAAGCTAATGACTTTAATATTAGGTTTAGGAACATTATAAAAAAGAAACAGTGCTAGCTAGCTATCCTCCTTTTCTAATTTATAATGCTCCACTTTCCGAGTTTACGAAACGATTCGAACCCAATAATTCATTGATATTCCGAGGTCTGGAATATCCAATCGTTATAGGGCAATTATTTGCCATAGCTGATATGACATTCGTGGCAAGGGCATTTCTAATCCAACTCCGCCTCGGTCCGTTCGGGTCATATTGGATATGAAAAAAGAAACGTTTCGTAAGGTATGGTTGTTATCGTTGTTGTCCTTTTTAGATAACATTGAAGAAAGCGTATCTAAATATTACATATAATCTTTTTTTGGAATGACCCCTCTCCATTAACCTTGTAAAAAGTTTGTTACAACATGATACAAAATCCTCGCGAAAAGAATTTTGTCGGTAATATTTAGAAGCTAAGCTTCTCACCATACCTTTTACAACTCCTGGCGGATGTGCCGAATGAGGGGTAGGATATAGAAATAAATTTGTATCCTTTTCCGCCGATGTTGTCCATAACATCGTACCATCCGTATGAATACAGATGTCAAGGAATTGTAATTTACCATCCTTCATAGATCCTTTGGTTCATTTTAGACCAGAAATACTGTTATGGATGGCCAGCATTTTTTTCTCTAAGAATCTCCCATTATCTTTTAAAATCACCAATGCATCATCCAAGTATCTTTTATATAAGATGACATTGGATTTTAAGAGAGGGTATAATTTGGTAGATTCATAGTAAGCAACATAAAGGGTTGCTATACTGGGGACTGCTGGATCCCCTATAGGAATGCCGTTCGTTTGAATGTAGAGCTTCTCATAGAATTCAAAATAACCAGTACTCAGAATTAAACGAAGAGCTTCTACAAACAAACCACCATGAATTGGTACAAAATGTTCTAGAATATATTTTTTAATCTCTTTATATGCTTCCATGGGGGAATGGAAGTATATAAGGCCGAAATATCTAGAGACATTAGTTCATGATGAGACGACAAAATGGTACCCGGAATAGCAGTCAGGATATCATCAGAATTCCTGATATAAGAAGGGATGGTGGAACCATTTCGACAGAACAGGAATAAGTGTATTAACGCACGCAACTAATGGTCTAATGTTTGGTGCACATCTAGGAAAATCTTTTTTGTGTACTTTGGCTAACCCGTAAAAATAATAAAGTTTAGTCTTATCCAGATGATGTAAAATGATTCTGGTCAGTTTCATAAATTCATTATTTTTATCCAACGTTCTTTTTACCTGCTGATAAAAACCAAGAATCTTATCTCGACGCGTTGTCAATATCTCCTCTTTATTGCGCTTCTGAATTTCGAAATAAGAAATTTTTATTTGTTAGATGGTCGCTACACCATTTTACATACTGTATTGTGGTCATTAATGCAGGGCCTTGGTTTTTATCAGTATTGATCACTTTCAGATATTTGTTATTCTTAAATTCCTTTAAGAAAATTGCTTGAGTAGTTCTAATTTCCACTTGAATAGTTTTTCTATTTTTGTAAAACTTTCGAACGTGGTCTAAAAAATTAACTTTTAGACATCTGAAAGTATCCATAACCTCTCCCGGAACATTACCCTCTATGAAAGATTTGTTGGACACATAGACTTTGCTTTTGACAAAATTATTAGAGAAATCATCAAAGTGGAATGCTAAGCTGATTCCTCTCATCATGTTGTCAAAGGCTTCTTCGTAATCTTTCATGGTTAAAAAAGGGGGTGTGGGACAAAAGTTGAGTGCTAATAAAGATATAAATTGAGTTCCATTTCATTAGTTGTATGAATAATTCTATTATTATCTTTCCAAATATATGAATTTAAAAAGAAAATGGAATTGTTCTGGTTTATCTCTAAAGGCCAGCTTAGCTTAGTACAATCTGAAATATGGTTGATAAAGTCCGAATAAAAAAAAGTTGAACTTTTTTTTACCCATATGAGCAATGTATCATCCATATTTCTTTCATATAACTTTATATAAGGAGAGATTTTATGAAACTTTAAAGCTTCATAATACACTGAATATGAAGTAACCAAGGTTGGAGGCAGCGGAATTAACCATAGGATTCCCCGTTTAGTTCTTGGTATAACATAACATTAAAGACATTATTATATAATAAAAGATGGATCGCTTCATAGTATGTACAAAAAAATTTTGGCCTGGAGACCCTTTTAGAAAGAATGCTACAGAAATCCATCAATTTTCTATTGGAATACTTGTATAAAGCGGTTCAATAATGTCTTTACTTTCTAGTTTGATATCTTTTAATAAAGCTAAAAGGTTCTCAGGATTCTTTATAGAAAAGTTTTTCTTGCCCAGTCCTCTTGCCGATTTTGGATGTGACCTGTGCACCTCTACTTTTTACTACGGATTTGCTATTAATAACTTACTTATTTACATGTTTTATTACTACAACGAAAACTTTAATCAGTACTCTATTTTAATATATAAACTAAGCCTAAACCAATACTCTTTATATAAATCTGTCTTACTCAATTAACTTTTATATATTAATTTTTATTTTTTACTATATCACTTCATTTACTTATATATATTGCTTAACATGTCTCTTGTTTCTTCTGGTAAAGATCCCGCAGCTTACATCACTGAGATACTAGCCATAAATGAAAAGCTATAAAAAGAATTAAAAATAGCGCAAAAGAGAATTAACGAGCTAGAATCTGTTTCCTTTACAGTTATTAGCAAAAACAAGCTAAATGTTATTTCAATTTCTTGCAAACCTGCTCCTTTACCCAATGCCTGCTCAGATTCATTTTCTGGTCTATCTTACAAGGCCAAAGCACTGATATAAACGGATTACCGTCTTTACTGAGTGATTTAACTACTCAAAACTCAAACACTCAGCTTTCCAATCGACAACACCCCACAGAACAGAAAACTCCACATCTCAATTGCGAAAAACTTTCCGGAGACAAGGAAAATGTTTCACCTTAAATATTCGTGAGAAACAACGGTGGCCAGGTGTAGTTCTCTATTACGTATAAGAAACGTGACCATTTTTCTTCTAAAAATATCCTTATTGCTGTCTTCTAATAATTTTCAACTGACCCAGAAAATTATTATTAGAAAGTAATTACGAGTTTTACAGCTTTTGAGAGTGGTACTAAAAGTAATTTTTCCCGAACTTGACAGAGCGCAGTTGAGGAAGATTTACGCAGTCAAGATTTTCATCCATTAAAGGTTGTTCGTATGAAAGTTATTGGAAAGAACGAAAGGTTCTTATTTTAGTACTCGAACACTCGCCAAAATCTGAAGGCTCGGTATATAAAATAACATCAGTTCGTTATTAAATTATGTTTGAAGGACAAGAATTCAAACGTAACTGGCCGGTGCCACCGCTGTCAACTTTTAGCCATAATTATACCTTCTGTACCTCTGCCTTTAAGTGTATTTAATGTGGAAGCAACCAGGAAAATGGTAGCTGCACGAAGACGCCTGATTTCCCTCCGAATAGCGCTAACTGTCAAGGCAAGCACATCATTGACTGTCGAGGTTGCCCTTATCACCCAAGAAATTCTCAAATGCGCACCTCAACGAATCACAACAGAGCCATACTCTCAGACAATTAATTGCACGTCTTCCAAGAATTTTCAAAATAAAGAACTTTTTTCTCAGCAAATATTCACTAGTCCACAAGAAGAGCTACGCAATTGCCGTTAAC